GAGTCTTAACTCTTAACTCGTTCAGCTGCAACAGATCATGTGATTTTCATCCTGCATTCCTGAAGAAACTTGAAAATTTATTACTGGGGGGCTACAAGCAGATTACTTTGGTTACAGAGTAAAAATGAAAGGTTTTCCAGGAAGGCTGAGGAGTAGGGAGGAGCTGAGGTGGGAGAGATAGAGGACCAGCAAGAGAAAATGAGCATACAGTCGATTCAGGGTGACAGTGATGGTCCCATTGCCAAGTCTGAGGCACCAAAATGAGCCAGCAGGAGTAGCAGAGCGCTACAGAGCAGCTAAGGAAGGGACCAGAGAGAACCAAGGACTAGTGTAAAGATCTGGCCTGGGGTGCGAGGAGGAAGGTGCCTTTTGGCCAGAGCTTCTCCACAACATCCAAAGGGTCTTTGTAGATGTATCAGGAACAAGCGGAGCTGTTGTGGAGTGAGAGCTGTCGGGAAAGCTTATGTGGGACATGTGTTTGGGTGTAAGGTGAAGTTCAGTAAGTAAAACATGTAAAAGGCAGGGTGAAAACATCAGTGTGAGGAGAGTAAAGAAGAAAGCAGTGATCTGGGCAGAGCCGGAGCAGAGCGAGCTGGAGCCCAGACAGGAGGCTTAGGCTTATGTCTCTAGGCCCCATCTCAGACCAGTCAGGATCTGTCGGCCCGGAAGCAGCATGATCACAGAGGAGAGCCCAAACCCCCCAGTAGTCAGACATAGTCTTTGGTTGGTTGGTTGGTTGGTTTGGTTTTTCAAGACAGGGTTTCTCTATGTATCCTTACTGTCCTGAACTCCCTTTGTAGAGCAAGCTGGGCTCGAAATCACAGAGAGCCGTCTGCTTCTGCCTCCCCTAGTGCTGGGATTAAAGGCATGCGCCACTGCACCTCGCTAGATCTAGTCCTCTTTAATCTTGGAGCACTGCACCATTCGGGGAGTCCAGCTGGCCCTGATGGATGTTACTGCTCTGAGCTGGTGAGGCAGAGAAGGGAACTGATGGAAAGGAGACTTCAGTCCAGCAGCTTTTAGTTCTGAGTCCACAAAACAATGTCCAGAGTGGGAAAAAGAGGGATGAGTTGGACAGCCCATGGTCCATGGTTCTCTTTTAGAGGGTCCCTGAATTGCTTTCAGGGTTTTGCCCATCGATCGCTTAGAAACTGCTCCAAGGCTGACCAAAGGACAAAGAGCGGAGCAGCAGTCACAATGCCTCAGAAGAGGGTCTGTGCAAGGGACTATGATAAAACTTAACAGTTGGCAAAGATCCAGAGCATCTCAGGAGGTGAAAACTGTACAACTCTATAGGGATCATTAACAAAGTTATATGAGGAAAACCGTCCATCAAGACTAACAGGAGTTACTGTGAGGTTGAGTACAAAGCTAGCAAAAGGTTAAACGAAATTGTACAACTGGCTGGGCCGTGGGCCGGAGGTCTGTAGAAGCAACAGATAACCAGGGCTACCTGTTTGCTGCATCAGACTCTTGCTATGGAACAAGCGCCTGGAAGCTTTGCAAAAGAGGCCAGTTAACAGAACACCGGAAGGAGAGCAAACTATTAATTTAGTGAATAACGCTGCTGCTAAAGCTGTGCTCATAGAACTAATCCCTTCCTTCCTTATCGATTGCTTATCCCTCCTTCCTCCTCACCGCCTTTTGGGATTACATCTCATTTTATAGGACTATTTATATGTAATTCCTTATTTACCAGAAAGTATAGACTTGATAATGACGGGAAGAAGGTGTCTTAAACAACTTACTGGGGCTGGAGAGATGGCTCAGAGGTTAAGAGCTCTGTGTGCTCTTCCAGAGGTCCTGAGTTCAATTCCCAGCAGCCACATGGCGGCTCCCAACCATCCATACTGAGATCCTCTTCTGGTGTGCAGGTGTACATGTGATCAGAGCACTCATAGAATAAATACACTGAGAAAACAACTTACTGGTAAAGAGCTTATAGAGATTATTGTGCCACTAAATACAACACAGGTAGATTATTTGTCCCACACTGATAATAATGGAGAGGTAGCATTAACATGTTACTCAAGACCTATAGATAATCATTATCCCAAAGATGACATTTGAAGATTTTTTAAATCTTTTGTTTTGGTTTGGCTTGGTTTTTCGAGACAGGGTTTCTCCCTGCAGCCGTGGCTGACCTGGACTCGCTCTGTAGACCAGGATCACCTGCCTCTGCCTCCAGAGTGCCGGGTTTACAGGTGTGCACCTGCTTTAAATCTTTTCTAAGACCCGTGCATGTTACCTAAAATTACACATCCAAAAGTCCCAGCAAGTGCTTACTAATGCTTTTATAGACGGCTCTTCAAAAGGACAAGGAGCATATATTTTATATACAAATTCTGCGTCATCCATGAAATAGATTGTGCGCAAAGCAGATTGTTGCAGGTGCCATAGTCAATCAGTCCTTACCAGACGTTTCTCGGCCACTGAATATTTTAGCTGACTCTGCACATTCTTGTTTCTCTTTTAGAAACTGCAAGACCTTAACACCCCCCCCCCCCAGTAATGTCATTTCACAAATATTCCTCTCCCTGCAGCCACCTATCCAACAGCGAACCAGCCTTCCTCATAACTCAAACCTGTGCTTCTCCTAACCTGCCAGTGTTCTAGCCGATGAGCTGGTCTCCTTTTTTCTCCTAGGACTTTCTTTTCAGGATGCTCAAAAATCTCATACCAGCTTCACCAGCTTGACTTTCTTCCACACCACTGCCATCTACTGGTGGAATGCATTAATTAATCCTTGGGCATAAAACTACCATTTGGCAAACAGGTATCACTGATATCTCAGAACTTGGGTGGTCAAAGTACGTTCATATAACAATTCAGACTTTCTCTAATATGACCGTTGCTCCTTCTCACAGAGGTGAAACAACCTTGGATGCCATTTATTGTACACCTCTTTAACGGCACTCCCATTACAATTTGATAATGGCCCTGCCTGTACCAGCAAAGGCTTTAAGAAACTTCACAATTAATCACGTTCCTGGATTCCCTTTCAGTGTACAGAGTCAAGTTACTATGGAATGACACTATCAAATACTTAAATGACAATTTTTTTAAATAAAAAGAGGCATACACACCCACCTAAATCCCCACGTACTATACTACATTTAACTATGCTAACTATGGTAAGCTTTTTCACCTTAAAGGATAATGCTGTTTCTAATGTCCAAAAGCATTTTGCCCTAGAGAAGTCACAGCATAAAGTACACGTTAAATGGGGAGATCTAGAAACTAATCAAGGCAAAGGGTCAGATGTTCTTCTCATGGTTACGCCTGTGTCTTTGCAGAAAATGAATGAAGCCCCAGACTCCCACTCTGATACGGCTGACCAGAATAGCATCCCAGAGACCACTGGACAAATAAAGCATCTGGAGACAGATGACAAAGCCATCCAGGAGAGGTGCCAAAGAAAGAATAAGTCAGTAACTTGGGGAAGGAACAAGGTCACAATACTACTGATCCAAAAGTGATGCTGTTATGTTTACTGACTATGTTACATGTTAATTCTCCACTTGTTAATGCAGAATCCAAATGCTTTCTGTCAGCAATGAGGCAGGCATAAAATTCACAGCTGTAGCAGGAGACAGCATGATGTTGTCTTGCCTTAATGAGGACTATTTCTTATGTTTTTTTTATTCCCAATCCCAGGAACGCTTACTGAACCATGGAGAGATTTCAAAAATGGTTTGTATTTGTTGGGCCTGATAAGGCCTGCTGAATCTACCTGAGCCTGGCTTGAGTTTGGAGACCTGTCTTTAGCTTCTGACTTAAGAGGCGCCACTTCTGGGCAAAAGTGATTCAGCATATCCGCCTTAAAAATCAACCCTGCCTGGTAACTGTTATGTGGAGTTTTGTCGCTGGCCCACCTCTCCTTGCACTACCTAACCTTGCTCTCTAAGTCATCTTGCCTCACTTCCTTAACCCCGCCCCCTGACCCAAACCTATGAAAAGGACAGCTTTATTCAATGAACTGAGTTCCTGCTTCGACAGATCTCCTGGCTCGGTGGTGGTTTATTCCCTGGGGCATCTGGGGAGGTCCCGGCCATCGACACTCATTATCCTGCTCAGCCACGGAGGGCGTCCAGCTTGACTGGCCACCCTCCTCTCAGCTCCACCTGCCGGATAGCGACCCGGCATTGTATGACTACTACATTAGGAAAAATTATTAACAGATGGATCAGTTGAGAACCACAGTTTACCAAATAGAGCTACTAGAGATTGTTTGCTGCTCAAGTATAAATTGTTGACAATTTCCTGAAATACGTTGCTTTAATATATCCCTCCAAGCTTGCTTCCATATAAACTGCATTTGTATTTGGCATGACTATTAACTTGTATGCCTTAGTTATCTTTAACAGCTTACAATAAGTGTACTGTCACAAAACACCACCTCTTTTTTTAATGACTCTGTTTCTCCAAATAACTAAAGCTTGACAAAGACAACATGGCCATCACAGTTCTTAAATGATCCAGTTTTAAAAACAAACCTTCTTAAAAGGCTGATATTGCCTCTTTAGTTTGAAAACAGGGTACAATGATGAGCAGAGTACCCCCTTAATCACCTCAACCAAGGTGGTGGTAAAGTCACGCGGCATGCTTCCATCCAGATGAGGACACCAGCCAAGATGGCAACAAACCACACAGTTGCTAGGTCACTGTCGTCTCCAACCCAGCACCAGCAGCTGAGGTGCCTATTTAACATATCAAAGTGGGCCTGGCCTCCAGGTTCTCCCAGCATCCCTGAGTCCCAACAGGTTACAGGGAAGGCTGCCACTGGCCCTCTACCCTGAACCCTCCCCCCAGAGGCTCTTTCCTATGTAATCCAGACCTTGTGGTTACTCGCCCCCTTTTGCTCCGTTTGTACCTTGGGCTTCCCGGTTGGTTCCCCTCTGTCCCTTTTCCCTCCCTTCTCCCCATGACTACTCTGGACCCCCCCTGCCTCTGGCTATGCTCTCTTACATTCCTATCATAAGCTTTCTCCTCCATCATACCTGGGAGCAGTCATGTCCTTTTCTTTTTTTTCATTCAGTCTTCAGCCATGATGGAAGACATTCTGGGTCTGAGCATGTTTGTAAACCAGGGCCTTGAGGAAGATTAAAGAGAACTGTGTGTTATACTGGGGAGGGGCCTCGAACCACTGTAACATTGTGTCTTGCAGAATTTTCTAAATCAGTTTAGGTATTAGAAACCCAAAGACTTCGGGCCAGCAGCAACCATTTGTCCAATGTGTGTTGAGGCCAGATTTGGACCAAGAGTTGAGCAAATGAACTACAAATAGGGTCTACTGTTTCAGATTAGCATGTATCGAGGCTGAGAGAGGGTACTTTGGAATGGAGAATTTAAAACTCATAGCAGCATCTACGATCAAAGTAAACGCAGTGTTGGGATATATTTAAAAATACGCCACGGAGGCGACAGATCTAGCATGAAGGATATTTATTGGATAGAGAGAGACATGGTGGGGGGAGAGGCGAGAGAGACAAAGTGGCCCATTGGTCCTTTTATATCTCAGCTGAACTTGTCTGCCACACAGCTGGTGGGTAACATGACATCACAGGTTACTAGGCAGCCCAGAAGCAGGTTGACTATACTTAAGCTCTGAATCTCAAGTTGACCAAAACCTACCTGGAACGTAAAGAGGCTCCCGAACCTGCACCATTCCAGGGTCACCGGAAGGCCAGAGTGGATGCTGTCTGACAACCTGGTGGATGATCTTTTGCTGTTGTATGGAGCCACACTTCACCCGAATCCCCCCAAATCCTGAGTGTTGGTTAGGTGCTAATCCCGGTGCTCGTCTCCCGGCGGACGGAACCCTCCCTATCAGAGAGGTCCCACATGCACCCTCCTCCGTCCATAGAATCTATCCGTGTGCTCACTGCAAATCCTTCCTCACAAGGACTCATTGTAAAGGCCACGGGTGCTTTGCTACTTTACGGGGGGGGGGGGGGGGGGGGGGGGAGATGGCGAGGGTGGGGGGGGTGGGGGGGGGGCGGCGATGTAGCCAACCTTGAAGCTTTGTTGTGATAAGAGTAAAGTGGAGACTTTTCCCCAAAATTTTACTGTGAGTAAATGTGTGAAGAAACTAAATTAATAAACTACACCAAGAGGTGAGGTCCTGGAAGTTTTGACCCAGCGCCTACCAGCCCGGTGTTGACCCGGATTTCATTCTGACCGGTTCCCTGCCCGCGATGACGCTGCAGGGACCCCAACAGGAAGTGACTTCTGCAGTCCACAAGGGACTCTGGGAAGTGTAGTCTCGCAGGAAACTGTCCCTGCCAGGATGCTCAATTTTGCCTTTGTAATTTCGGAGACTTCCAGAAACCAAGACTGTAATTGTTCTTTAATGTCTGAGATGGGAGGGAAATAGGCAGAACCAGGAAGAACTTCGTAGAGAAAGTAGCGCCTGGAATGTCTGAAGCAGGCAGGCGCTGCAGAATGGAACCTATGTAGGTCGGAGAGATGGCTCCGCATCCTGCTTGCTACCAACCCAGGACCCACAAGGTGGAAGGAGAGAGCCAACTCCTGTTGTCCTCCGAGCTCACACTCAGTGTCTGTCACACACACACACACACACACACACCAATGCACACAATTTTTAAAAATAAAATATTATAAATTTTTTAAAAGAAAAAAATGATTACAAACTGAACAATTCTAGGTTCAAGCCTCAGATACGCATCTTCCTGTTAAATGCAGACCTTAATTCTATCTCAGTGTCTAAGCATGGTTTTGGCTGGAATGGATTTTCTTCCCAAATGAGGATGAACGTGAATCAGGAGAGCTGCACCACTCTATGCTGTCTGCGCTTCAAGCCTCTCATTTGTGAAGAGGCTTGACAGGACTATCTTAAGGACTTGCTTTGGGTAACAGACATACATTGAGGAGCGTGCGTGAGCAGTTGCTTAGGCTATCCAAACAGTCCGGTCAGAGCTGCCGCTCTTAAACCTGATCAGTAAGAATATTTTCTAGTCCCTACTATTTGCTCAGCGCTCTGGAATGGGGGCGGGGGTGTGACTGTAAAATACCAGGAAGCATGCACTCAGCTTGAACCTTAAAACTGCCAGAGCCCATTGCTTGTGTGGCAACTTTTCACACAGTCACAACTACAGAAAGAAGTAGAGAGGAGGCAGCAGAGAGCTGTGGGGCAGAAAAGACTCTAGAAACCATGCCTCTAGAACGCTGAATGAAATCTAAGACCAAGCCGGGGTCCAGCATCCCCCATAGACCACCCCAGTCCTCCCACTTGGCTGCTTTATGACCTAGACAAGGCATGTCACGTCTCTGGTCTGTGGTCTCTGGTCTGTGGTCCGAGACCTCTGAAATGAGTTCAGCCAAACCTAGCTCTCAAGGCTGTTCTAAAGGTTGGTTTGTTTTGTTGTGGGGGGAGAAGGGGTGTTTTGTTTTTGTTTTCAGTTAGAAGAGTTGCTGAATTCTGCAGCCAAGCTGCCTCAGGGCAGAAGTGAAAACTGAACAAACTGAAGATGGGAGAGATGATTTGATAGTTACATAAATAAGATCAGTTTAGATAATAAACCATCTGTTATGACTAAAATAAGGATACAGTTTTGTGATGATGGACTTATTCTCTCTGAGCCTCGCCCAGTGCAACTTGAAAAGTGAGTCAGAAACCAGGCATTCCGCCCTCTAGATCCTGTTCATGTCCCTCCTGCTGCTGTACAGGGAAGACTGAGAACATCACAGTGTGAGGGATAGAGGTCTCTTCCTGCCTGACGCGTTGGAAGCCCCCATGGGCTCAGACCGCTTTAAGGGTCACATAGCAGACACCTGCATATCAGATACTGACATTACAATTCCCAGAGGTAAAATTAGAGTAATGAAGTAGGAACAAAATGACGTTTCTGGCTGGGGTCACCACAACCTGGGGGCTTGTAGCATAGGAAGGTTGGGAATCAATCCAGCCTCGGTAATCCTCAGCTTCTACCCTTGTTTGTTAGCACAAGTCCTTCCTTCCATGGATGCACAGGCATGAGAAACAGAACTTTGCTGTGTGGTGAGAAGTTGAAGGTCTGAGTGATATTAGCGCATAGCTGAAACTATCTCAATATGGTGACAGAAGAAATTAAGGAAAGCATGTTGATGATAATAATCTAATGTGATAAATTTATAGCCCAAAAGGGATATTAAATTTTACAGTATCATTTTATACTCACTAAAGGCTTACTCCATCAAAATGAGGTGTCGTGACATCTTATGAATTTAAATGTATGAATTCAAAATTTTATAAAGAAATGCCATTTTAAAATATAAGGAAGGGTTAGATGACGCAGTCAGCAAAATGCTAGCCATAATGCAGAGCTGAGTTCACTGCCAGAAACCACGTAAAAAGTCCATCATGGCGGGCCATCCCTGAAATCCCAGTACTGAGGCGGTAAGCACAGGAAGCTCCCTGGTGCTCACTGTCAAACCACCTAACCTACTTGATAAGCTCCAGGCCAGAGACAGAGCTCGACTTGAGAAAAAATGTTAAGGTACACACATGTGAAGACCACCACTCAGGGCTGGCCTCTTGACTTCCACATGCTTGCTCACACAGTCATACACAGATACGTCTACAAACAAATAAGGGAAAAGTGACAACCAGAGGGGTAGTCAAAGACTTTGAGCAGAAAAAATGAACACATACGATGTTTTCTATTTCTTCTTTGAAAGCTTCATACAGCAGTGTGTTTTGCTCATTTTCACTGCCGTTGCCCTCTCACATCCCCTACCTCTTCTGCTGAAGCCTTCAGCACAAGAAGCCCCGCTTTAACCTCTGTCTCTTCACATAAGTATGGCCCATAATTTCACCATGCTTTCACAAGCACATGGAAAGATATCTGCTGGACCGTGGGCAACTTTTCAATGGGTCCAGCACTAAGAAAAATGGCACCCTTCCCCCTAGTAACGATGGGCTAACTTCCCCAGGAGTAGGCAGGGTCTCATGACTCCTCCCATCCATGGTAAATGTTGACAGGTCCAGCCATGAGCAGATCTTGGGGGGCAGGAGCAGGGAGGACGACACAGTGGCTGTGAATCCTTGAATGTAGCCATTTTGACTTCAGGAGGCATCACCACCTTTTCCTCTGGCTCCTGCATTCCCATCACGCTTTCTCCGGGTTCCTGGAGCCTGGGAGGGGGTATTCCACCCGAAACCACAAGCAGCTTCTCTGACCATGGCTAGGAGAAACACCGATCTATCGTTGTGAACATGAATACTGGAAGCCCATTTAGCAAAAACTGGTAATCTGTTCTCCTGTAGGGCACATGATCTCCCAGCCATAACCAGGCTGACAGTCCCAGGCCTGGGTTCCCTCTGATAGTGCAGGCCTCAAATTGAGTCAGAAAGCACATAGTTACCCTCAGAACCAGCATGGTGACTTGTGTTGGAAAGACCCTGCTGCTTGAGGCTGCAGTCCTCCCAGTCCAGAGAGCCATTCTGATCTCCGTGTGAAGGGGCAGGACTCCCTCTCCCCAGCAGGGCCTCCTGCTCTCTGCCTCACTTCATCTGGAGAGAGTCTCTAGACACAGATGCCCCCAACCACATTTGATATGTTGCTCTCCCCTTCCTGCGCTTATAGGATAACTAGGTGCCATGTCCAGTTCCTATGATAGGAGTGTGGTGTTTAATGCAAATCAAGCATCCTTGACATGCCTAGTTTTAGCCAATTATGTACACCTGTCCTTGGAGGCCCCGACCAACTCTCCAAGGTATTCCAGAGCCTTTGTTCTCTGGAATTAAAGTTGAACTAGCTCCCTGAAGTGGTTCCCGGAGTGTCTGGCCTTCCAAGCTCATCTTTTGCCCATCCTGACATCGTGGGCTGGTGGGAAACAGCCCCCCAGGCAGGAGGAAAACACAAACTTGCAGCACTGTGAAAGCTATCCAGCAGGAAGGAGGTCTCCAGTTCTGATACAGCTTGATTTTTCTGTGTTCTGTGTGCCCAGTGTGTGGCTGGTGTCTTCAGTAATAAGGTTCTATCATCAAGTCCTTGAGAGCAGCCAACAGAAATGGCAAGTCTATGGTGCTTTGGAAACCTCCATAGCTTCCCTGACCAACACTTTGTAAGAACATATCCCACAGCTGGCACTGAGTGGGATTTTTGTTTAATAACCTATGGCTACTTGGAGGAGCATTGTTATGAAAGATTTTTAAAGCTGTCAATGCATTAAGTAAGATTTTAAAAAGTAATAACTTAAGAAAACTATTCAATTTTATTTTAAATAGACTTTAAAGAGGCACATGCAAAAACTGAAGAGATGGCTCAACAATTAAGAACACTGGCTGCTCTCCCAGAGGACCTGGGTTCAATTCCCAGTCCCCACGTGGTGGCTAACTACAGACCATACTGCTCATCCTACTGGATCTGGTGCTATATTCTGACACACACTCAAACAAACACTCATGCACAGAGTGTTTATAACAGATCAAAAATATTTTGAAGGCAGATACAAGAAAACAGCTAGGCGGCTATTGCAGTGCCAGGTCCAGAGACGAATGGCTTAGACAACAAGTGATAAATAGTCAGGTCCCGACAGAGCTTGTTAGCTATGGAATGTGAAGTTCAAGAAAGAAGAAAGATGAGAAAAATCTGAAAGTTTGGCCTGAACCGTTAGGAGGATGGACTAACCAGACACTCATCTGGAGAAGTCTCCAGATGACCTGTTTTGCCAGGAAAAGCAATGATTTGATTATAGCTCAAATAATTTTCCTTTGGGACACATCGAAGTAAAAGATCAAGATTTGTAAGTCTGAAGGTCTCAGATGAAAAAACTAGAATGAAGATAGAAATCTAGATTTAGTCAGTTTATTGATTATGTTTAAGGCTGCAAGTTGATCTAAGAGCTCCTGGAGTAAGGAATCAAAGGCAGACAG